TATTTGTACTCATCATATACAACATAAATTTATACCAAATGTTTCAGGCAAGTCACTTAAAGCTATGGAAAGAATATGCTCCATATCTTTAAGGCATTCATAATTGGTATTAAAGAATCCATAAATATTAACATGGGTTTTAGAGTTATTTTTTCCCCACATTAAATCTAGTTCCATGCATTACAAATAGAAAGTTAAAGTCAACAAACAATAACTTGAATATGTATATTTTAAATCAGAACCTGTAGGAATAATTTATAACTTAAATATCTTATAAACATGTAGTTAGATATGCCAAGTGCAAAAGCAGTATTTATAACATTTACATTTTGGATGTAATTTCTAAAAAGTCTGTGTTGTGCATTTAAGACAACCATCTCCTAGTCAAGTACTTAATGGGATTTGGACCAACTGTACATTTCAAAACACATTATGACCGTAACGCATTTGAAACAGACTTTAAGTGAGGTTACATATTGCTTATGTTGAAATTTAAAATGCAAAGGAGTTAGGCCCTATTGAGTACCAATGGAATTCTTAATACTTTTCTTTGCTTCTCTCTTAATAGAATATCATCCCAGCCTAATCAAACACATGAGAATGTTTCATGTTAAGCCTCAGAATTATAGAATCATACAGTTTAGAGACTGGAGTGAAAAAATAAAAGATAAATCCACCCCCCTGATTTTATAGATGAGAAAACTGAGGCCTGTAGCATTCCTTTCAAATTAAGACTGTTTTCAAAACAACAGTCATGCCCCTTGAGTTATTTACTCTAGTTTTGTCATTTATTTTCATGCTGTTTCCATTGACCACAACTCAGAAGAGCAGATGGTCCTTTCTATATGTGTTCCTCCAGAGGACCAGCTGACTCTTGTGGGGAATTTCCCTTTGTGGTATCAGAGCCAGGGGCTAGTGGTTTTCCTTTGAGTATTTTTTAAGACAACACTATCATGTAACATCTGGGACCAGAAAGAAATCTTTATGGTATATATTTTACAGATCTTTTCTGAGACGAAAAATGAAAATCTAAAAAGAAAAGACATTGATAATATTTCACATATATTGTTAATTAGTAAAATTGCCAAGAAGTGCTAGATTCCAATCCTGTGTGAACCCATGTACTTGAAAAGTTAGTAATTCATTTTCCAATTACACTTAAATATAATTTTGAAGTGCATTGTTTAAAGATTTGATACACTCAAGCCATGAAAAGGAGGTTTTCTCTTTTTTTTATGTTAATTTTATTTTATTTTATTTTATTTTACGAATAGTTTATTGTCAAATTAGTTTCCACCTAACACTCAGTGCTCATCCCCAAAGTGCCCTCCTCCATGCCCACCCCCCCCCCACATCCATCAGTCCTCAGTTTTTGTCAGCATTCAAGAGTCTCTCATGGTTTGCCTCTCTCCCTTTCCCCCACCATTTCCGCCCTTCTTCTCCCCCTTGTTCCTCCGTCAAGTTCCACCTAATCCTCCTATACGTGCAAACATATGATATTTGTCCTTCTCTGCCTGACTTATTTCGCATGGATGGAACTTGAAAAGGAGGTTTTCAATAGGTGTGATATTTAACGAAGTCCCAACCTCCAGTGCTAAGGTATTTACAAGGGCTCCTTGTGACTAATCACTTGAACTTAAAGGAACAGGATTGGTCATACAACCCCCCAAATCATACCTGAATCACTTTGGAGTTGTAATTGGCCTTTACGTCTATCTATATAAAGCTGTACTTAATATTTAATTTACTTCTAAAACAATAGTGTGCAGCCTATGGTATTTAAACTTACTGGGCAAGTGGAGGATTTGGGGAGCTTGTGTTGTCCGGACGTGGTAGGAATCAAGATAAATCGCGCAAAGCAATGTGAAATACTGATCTGCTTACAGGGCCCTTTTAGAAATTAGGTTACCAATAAGCTCAGTTGATTACTATTGGGTTAATGTCAAAATACTGAAAGAAACCCGTAAAAAGCAGGCTAGAAGGACAGAAAGACTCTCCCCAACCCCCCTCCGAACTCTTCCTCCTCCTAAAGCTCTCACGCTTGGAATAGCAGGTTCCAGCAAGTGCCTGGAATCTGGTCTCCGAGAAGACAGGAGCGCTGCCACAGCAGGGCGTTCCCAGCTGCGGACTGCTGGCTGCTTGCAACCGGCAGACACCTGGCGCGGTGCTTCAGGGCTCTGGAGACTTCAGTGTTGGACCCACGGACTCTCGGGCCATACCCATACGCAAAGGCTGCGAGCAGGCAGAAGGGTTTCCTGTGTGTCAGCAACTTCACTTTGCCGGATAGCTGGCGGAAGAGCAAAGGAGCCCTCACGGGCCAATCGCTCCCCGGCAGCCGGACCCGTGCGCCCCCTCGCCCTTGCGGCTGCTGCGGAGGGGCAGAGGCTGAGCTCGCGCGGTCACGGTCAAGAGCTCGGTGGAAGACCCTTCTGGCTCCAGGTGGACGCCCTGAAAAGCGCTGGCTGACCACCGGTCTGGCTCCTCCGAGGCACGCCCCTAGCCGCCTGGGAGCGGACTCACCCGGGTGCCCAACTCCGCCCACCCTCGCGGGGAGCCAGCCTGCCCCCTGCACTCACCCGAGCGGGGCTCTGAGCTGCGCGGAGGCTGAACACAACACGATCCAGAAGCGCACGGGTGTGCAGTGACGCGCGCGCTCCGATGGCCCCCAGAGGCTGAGCGAGAGCAGCCGAGGGGCCGCAGAGGAAGCGGCGAGGGCCCCTGAAATGAGCTGCTTGTTTGCAAGGTAGGGAGAAGGAAGATTCCCAAACCAACTTGATCTTTGGGGAAAGAGGGCTGGGGAGCGCCTTTCTCCGGCCAGAGGGCCGCGCTGCGAGTTTGGCTCCACCTCCAGCACACACTTTGAGCCCTCCGGTGCTTACTCGCTGCACCCCGGGAAAGCGCAGTCAGAAAGTTGTCGGTGCCCCACGCGCCCTACTGCGTGACCTCAGCACGGTGGCCGGACGGGGAAGTTGGTGGCCGGGCCGGCAGCCCAGCTTGGTTTCGGCGGCGGGGCAGATTTCATGGCCCGCAGGGCCGGAGCGGGTGTGGGCGAGCCCGTGTGTGCCCCCTCCGGTGGGGATCCCGGGCGCCCGCTCCCTTCAGCTCGCACGCTTTTCCAATGCTCTGTGCCCCTTGTGCCGCCGCCACCGTCTCACCGCTGCCTGCCCCTAGGAGCCGCCGCGTAAGTCTGGGAGGAGAGAATGACCGAGGTGCCGTGGCCGGCTGTCCCCAACGGGACAGACGCTACCTTCCTGGCCGGCCCGGGCTTGCCCTGGGGCAATAGCACGGCAGCCTCCACGGCCTCGGTTGCGTCCTTCACTTGCTCGCTGACCAAGACGGGCTTCCAGTTCTACTACCTGCCGGCGGTCTACATCTTGGTGTTCGTTGTCGGCTTCCTGGGCAACAGCGTGGCCATCTGGATGTTCGTCTTCCACATGAAGCCGTGGAGCGGCATCTCCGTGTACATGTTCAATTTGGCCCTGGCCGACTTCTTGTACGTTCTCACTCTGCCCGCGCTCATCTTCTACTACTTCAACAAGACGGACTGGATCTTCGGGGATGCCATGTGTAAGCTGCAGAGGTTCATCTTCCACGTGAACCTGTACGGCAGCATCTTGTTCCTCACCTGCATCAGCGCGCACCGGTACAGCGGCGTGGTGCACCCGCTCAAGTCTCTGGGCAGGCTCAAGAAGAAGAAGGCGGTCTACATCAGCGTGCTGGTGTGGCTCATCGTGGCGGCGGGGATCTCCCCCATCCTCTTCTACTCGGGTACCCAGGTCCGGAAGAACAAAACCACCACCTGCTACGACACCACCTCAGACGATTACCTGCGAAGTTACTTTATCTACAGCATGTGCACGACCGTGGCCATGTTCTGTGTCCCCTTGGTGCTAATTCTGGGCTGTTACGGATTAATTGTGAGAGCTCTGATCTACAATGACCTGGACAACTCGCCTCTGAGGAAGAAGTCCATTTACCTGGTGATTATTGTACTGACTGTTTTTGCTGTCTCCTACATCCCTTTCCATGTGATGAAAACGATGAATTTGCGGGCCCGGCTGGATTTTCAGACACCAGAAATGTGTGCTTTCAATGACAGGGTTTATGCCACTTACCAGGTGACCAGAGGTCTAGCAAGTCTCAACAGTTGTGTGGACCCCATTCTCTATTTCTTGGCAGGAGATACTTTCAGAAGGAGACTGTCCCGGGCCACCAGGAAAGCTTCCAGAAGAAGTGAGGCAAACTTGCAATCCAAGAGTGAAGACCTGACCCTCAATATTCTATCTGAGTTCAAACAGAACGGAGATACAAGCTTGTGAAGATGCAAGAGCCACCGAACACCCAACTTTTGTAACATGGTAGGATGCTCAAAAGAGCCAAGTGCTTTTTTTCCCCTTTAAGTGTCTAGTAAGTTTGAGAAAATTCAGTCCAAGAGAGGAGTAATTTAAAAAACCAAGAAAAAACGTAGAAACCCGCACCCCTGCACTTAGTGTTCACTTTCAAGGCCTCCCTTTCTTACTGGAAGTATGTAAAACACAATTATACTCTCCTAGTTAAACATTTACTTTCTCATCTGCCCTTAAAATGTACAAGCTTTTGTGTTTAAAGTGCACTGAGGATGAGAGCTATTTTGATATTAACAATTTCTCTAAGAGAACTGCTCCCTTGAAACTGAGTTTTCCGTAGTTCATAGTAGGAACAAGCTGAAACTCCACACTCTCAAAGTAAAAGTAGTAGAGCAAAAATACTAGACTCGATCCATTCCATTTCAGATGAAGAGATCTCAGCTGGGTGTCCCTTTGGTCCTCAAAGCATAGGTGGTAGGGGCTGAGTTTCTTTGGAGAATTGAATAACAAAGTCAGTTCATTTAAAAAACCTAAAAAGTGATTATTTCCCAGTGACTTCTAGAAAACTTGCAGACAGTTAACTGCTAAATGCGTGGTGGTGGTAGATGCCTGCATAAAGGAGCTTACAGGTAAATTGCTTTGGGAACAATCAAAGTTCGTGTACCTTCCTTGTTCTTTATCACAGGAAGTCTGAGTTCACCGTGTTTACATTTATTTGCACCACTGTTGTGCAATGCCTTAGGAGTTTGTGTTCCAGGACAAATGCTCACTCATAGCTGTAAAAACAATGTAAAAAATCACAGATAAACTGCAGACCGAGGTTGAGGAATGCTGGACAAGAGGGTGATGATATTATCAGAGGGAGAATCGCTGACAGTCATTCACAATGCAAGGTTGTAAACCTATTCTCAAGTGTATGAGGCAACTAGGAGTGAGGAAAAGGCAACTTTTCTTTCTTTCTAGAGAAGACTATTTTAGAATCAGCACTTGACTTTAAATGGTGTAAAGGCCCTTTTTTGCTTCTAAAAATATTGGGAAACACTAAATGTAATATGAAAAAAAAAGGCAGCAGACTGTACAGTTTGTGTTGATAGAATGAAAAGCTTTAATTCTTTAATGGATCTTATATCCTCATATTTATAGGGGACAGGGAAACACAGAATTCAATCTATGGGCTAGCTAAGGTACCACGGCACTGAAAAGTTGTGGAAACTACAAATCAGACTAATAGTTCAGGAGAAGATTACTGGGCAGTTGTTTGTTTTATTTCCTCTGCCAGGCACAAATGAAAACTCAGTGAAATGCTTCAGTAATTTTCGTTCGTTTTCAATGCATATCGAATTTCAATGAATAGTGAATATTGCATTTCTAGCCACTGAATCAGTCAAATTTTGATGGAGAATAGTAAGATGAGGGAAACAACTTCTGACTCGTAACAGATCTAGTATGGAAGGAATTTCTGTCAAAATTAGCCTCAATGAAAGCCAGCCTTAGAGCTTGCAAGTGTTGGTGGAAGAACTTGTTTGAAAGTACTTTGTATGTAGAGTCATTTGGAGGCTGTCTTAAGGCAAGAAGCGGTGGTAAGTAGGGACAGAACAATCAGGGCTTGATTTCAGTTCTTCTAGTGTAGGAGTGGCCTGTGGATTTGTGAGACCTTCATAGACTTGCTTCAGTGTATCCAGTCTCTGGCCACTAACATCTGTGGAGAAAAGCAGTGTTAAGCATGTGTTCAGGTTAATGCACAGAAATACAGGAGCCCTATCAAAAAGAAATCAGGTAGATATCTTACCTCCCCTGACCCATTTTGAGGAAAGTCATTACAGTTCTCTTGATTAGGGTCCTCCAAAGCATTCACTGAAAGAAAAGGTATAAAACACATCATTACTGTAGTACCCTGCCAAGCATCATGGTCAGTGACACAAGATTCATATCCCTACACTGACCAAGACGGGAATTGCAAAGCCTGTACCATCCTTGAGCTCACAAGCTAAAGCTATGCATTTGTACAGTATTGCCTCACCATTCACTGCAGTTTTCTTTCTTTTAGGTCTTGGGATGCCAGTACATGTTCCACACACTGCTTCAGCTCCCAGAGAGCTTTCTTTTGCGGTGTGGACCCAGTGAGGTGGCCCGTGCCTACAAATGTCCTTTCACTTCTTGTTTTTTTTCCGGTGTTTCCTCTTCAAACATCACATAGTGGACAATGATAACCTGTGAATGCATGCCAAATAGTAACCTTCCAGGTGCAAAGAGGTCCCTGAGAAGAGTCTGTCCTAATGGTTCAGACATACAGAGGGTCAAGACGAAACAGTGATCCATTGGCTAGAGACCTGATAATGCAATGATGTAAGTAGGCATTTCAATAGTAAAGGCAGAAATCTGTTGGTGTTTGGATGAAAGCACTGCTAGAATTATAGAACTTACCAGTTAACTAAATTTCACACCACAAAACTATTTTACCAAGTTCAAGGTAGTTTATGGCTCACTGACTGGCATCTTTGACTCTCTAAATATCACTGTGTACACATGGATTAAAATGATAAAAACACAGACCAGGAAGAGATCTAGCCGAGAGTAGGATTCAGAGTTAAAAACATGGTATTGCCACTCAGCCAACTGTGGAACTCTCGACCCATTCAATACTACTCTCCATTGGATTAAAAAAGTTGGATGACCTCCATCTGTTAGGACCTCAGGCGATGTGGTAAAGCATGAAAACTGCACACAGCCAGAGATGCATGAAATCTGCTACTGTATTTTCCAGGACTCTTCGATTCCAGTCCTTGGCTAAAAATTCTCACAAAGTTCACCAATCATGATGTGGACCTATGACCCATAAGTTTTCTCAATCTACTCCGAACAGTACAGTAAACTGCCTTTGGATGCAAGAGATGTCGTGCTTAGAGCAGCTGGAATTGGACTAGTGAAAATAAAGATATGTAAGTAGTTAGCAGTCTCCTGGGGCTTTAACTTAGCTGGGCAGATTGCAACTAACATCGTATTTATTGATGAAGCTCACAGTCCTTCAGTTGTACAGATTGAAAAACTTTCTGAAAGAACAAATATGCTGATGTAAATTATATTTATTATGATGTATATAGTATGTCACACTAGTGTATTTTACATAACATGTTACATAGATAAAATGAATTATTCTATATTATGCTTTTCAAATGTCAGTATCTTGAAATGTCTGTCTTAAGATTTTGATCTAAAATATGAATGTTTGGTTAATTGTCTCTAGAAATGTTTTTGCATGTTTACCTTTTCACTTAGGATTCTATATATAGACACAATTGGATGTCAAACCATCATCAGCTCAACAGTAAATACAAAATCCCTTTGCCAGACTAAGTCTGTATTGTCTATATTTTATGTGACATAGAAAAGTTTATATGGTCTTTAAAAAACATTTGGAATTGAGCCCCCAAATATGATTGAAGCTTCCATTTCCAAAGCAAAACCTTGTTCTAAATTCAGAGTAGACCTTACATTTTAGAAGTCAGGAGGAATGGGCATTATAGATACATCAGAACTTAAGGAAAACCTAGGGAGAGAAAAAGGCAGCTGGTGCAGTCAGTTACTGTCCTCAGTTCTGCTTACATTTTTGTGTTGTGTTTCTTCTTAAGGTGAAATAGTGTAATCTTACTTTGAGATGGAGTTTCTAAGTAACACACTACCAGCAAGTTCAAGACTGCTATTTTAATGTTTTAGGTGTTTAGTTGGTAACTTAAAGTTCAAGTTTTATAGTGATAACTGTATATGATTTGGCTGCTGAATTGTTATAATTTTTTATTATGTTGTGCATTGTATCACACATCATTACAAATTGACATGAAGGGGAATATATGTTACATATCAAAATTTGTGACTTTGAATTCTAGTATGTTTTAGTGTTTTTGCAAAAATGTTTATTTTTATATTATCTGTGGTTTTAATAGAGTTGAACTAGATTTCTTTGTGATTAGTAGTTTCATTGAATGAGCAGTATGGAAACAGTGTTACTTGACATTTTGAGCCTTCTCAGGTTTATCTAAATCAATGGTAGTTTAACAAAGTCCAGACTAATTGTATGTAATTGTGTTTTTAACAAAAGGAATGTATATTTCCTGTAAGTTTGCATGCATGAATGTACAATATTTTGTGTTTGTGCATTTGTCTAAGGCATGCAGCCAGCTTCGTATCTGCTATTTATAATAGGAAAGCTTTGATATGAGCACGATCATCAGAATTGTACCTACTTTAGACAATTAAAACTGAAAAAGTCTCAATAAAATATGAAATGTGATTGGACAGCTTCCATCTTCTTATAGTGTTAGTCCCCCTAAGTTTCACCAAATTTTGCCATATGCTATTCTGCGTGACACAGTTTGTATTTCTTAAGGTGTGGCCTTAGGGAAATGTTAAAGAATTCTGATGTAGGTGGGGCACCTGGGTGGCTCCAGTGCGTTAAGTGTCTGCCTTCAGTTAAGGTCATGATCTCACAGTTCGTGGGTTTGAGCCCTGCATCAGGCTCTGTGCTGATGGGCTCACCAGCTCAGAGCCTGGAGCCTGTCTTGGGATTCTGTGTCTCCTTTTCTCTCTCTCTGGCCCTCCCCTGCTCATGCTGTCTGTCTCTCTCTCAAAAATAATAAATAAAACATTAAACATTTTTAAAAAAAAGAATTCTGATATAGGATAATTTACAAGATTATTTGGCATTGTGACAAATTCTATTTTCATACTAGTGTTTAAATGGTAGCTGTAATCTTTTCTCCTTTAATTTTTAATCCATGGAAGTGATAATACTGGTAATTCTTTGTGGTTTCTGCTTATCCATTAGCTTTTATTGCCTGTATCTTTCCATTTTATTAAAATATATATCTAATCTTGTGTAGTGAAAAAGCGTATTATGGAATGGAAGCATGCTTAAACCATTACCTCTTTTCCCTCGGTGGAGAAGGTAACTGCACTTTTCTGGTCATCTGCTGAGACAGGCGCCCTGTCACAGAATCCTGTGGGGAGAAGGGCACAAATCACTTGCAGCCCTTAAGGTATAGTTTTGACTCCTTAATTAGCTATACTGCTATACTAGAATCTTCCCTTATTAAAATCAGCTAGGTAGAGTTTTGTGGGTGTGTATGCTTATTTAGTGCATACACAGAAATAATACAGATAGTCATTTTTTCTGATATAACAATTTACCATAAAGCTGTAAGAATGTTTGGATTTTCAAAGCCACTTTGGGATTAGAGTCAGAGAACCTTCATTCTCTGCAAGTAAATATTACTGCTTTCAAATTCTTTTTTTTAATAACTGAAAAATTTATATTCTTCTCAGAATGTTTAGAATTTTGCCTCCAGATATGGTCAGGGTTCCCAGTTCCAAATATAAAAAGCTTGCCCTTAATTCAAAGTAGATCGGTTATGGTTTAGAAGTCTGATGGGATGAGGCATTAAAGACACATCATATGTCACTACAAATCCATATTGATGTTACTGCCATGCTTACGTGCTTTAACCCTATAAGGTTACGCTGCTTTGGGGTGGACTGTGAGGACTGACATCTTCAACCAGCATAGTTGCTGGGACAGATCTGTGGATGGAGTCAGGCCCCTGGGCTGAGCGGCTGACAGTACAGCAGCCCCTTAAAAATAGGCCTGGGTAAGGGGGGTAGGGCAATAGGAGGCACGTGGGGCCAATCAGTACTGCACACAGAGGAAAAACGCACTGCCCTTCCAGATTACCTGATGGGGAAATCACCAGTACCAAGGTGGGAAATCCCCGATATACTGAAACAGAGGCTGCGGAGATGATCTGATTTGATCCTATCACCTTGGTTGGATGGTGAGAGTAAGTTTTCCATTGAAGAGTGGTAGCAAGGAACTGAGGGCTCTCAGCCCTACTCGAACATCCCTTCCACATTGCAGGATTCTTCAAGCTGTAGATTTTGACCCATTAGTGGGTTATGGTGAGTGCTCTATAACAAGACAAAACAGATCGGACTCCACAACTCAGTGAAGCTTTGTGATTTTCATTCCAAACACATACATGGTATACTCATGCACATACACATTATTTACATGTACTTGTGTCACAGTGGGTATTTGATTTCTCTGAGGACCTGGTCAAAAAAGATGATAAACTACACTACTGAGTACAAGGTATGGAGGGACTAGAATAGGGGATGAGAGAATTTTTTTTTCAAAACGGTTTTTAAATAAAGAAAGAGGGACTCAGTTGTTAATTTTGTTACATGCATCCTCTTTTTAAAATATTTCTTAAGATCACATTTGGAATTCCCAAAGAAACAGCATTTAGCTTACGTCTAAGGAGAGCTATTTGTAGTTACAGATACTCTAATTGAGTTTACTTTGATTTATGTAAACTCTGAAGCTTAGCTCTTCATACTAGTCTCATCGGTGTGAAAAGTTAACAGCAAATGTCCACTGTATTCAAAAGTAGCAGCTTTGCAGTCAAAATGTCTTAGGTTTGAACCAACTTCTACCACTTATTACTTGTGGACCGTTGTTTTCATTCTCATGGCTGTGTTTTCCTCAACTATAAATTGGACATAACATTGCAGCTCAAAGATGTTGGGAGAATTACATGAAATAAAAAAGGCAAAGCACTTCCCAATATATACTCAGTAAGTGGCAGACATATCATTCTTGAGGCTACTAAGGATTTTGCCACTACACGTGCTGTTTTTTTGCTGTTGTTTCTACTATTATTATTATTTCTGTTGTCTTCTTTCATGCCATGAAGACTTTGTGGATCTCCTAGAATTTTTTGCTGTGGACTTGAGTGCATATGATATTTTCTTTTGGACTCTCCATTGAAGATCTGAGGTATGGTAATTCAACTTTTTGATGCTTTGCACTGTGATACACACTGTGTGGGACAAAGAGATGCAAATGAAACCGTGTGCAGCTAAAAATATATTGACAAGAAGAGTCTGCTGACCTCCTTAGCTGGGCTTCATCTCTCAGATTCACAGTCTATTTTCAGTTGCCACAGTCCAAAGTCTCGTCTTCAGTTTTGCAGATAGAGAAACTTGATCTCAACAGGTCACCTAGAGTTCACCACTCTGGAGCACTGACTCACACCAAGCAAACTGACAAGACAATCATTTACCAACTAGAACACCAGTTTATGAATATACAATGGCCACATCCTAGTCACAATAAGACGTCTGCCTGTTGTTCAATTTAATTACAGATCAAAAAGTTGCCTACGGAGTTTAAAATAAAAACAGAGAAGTGATATTCTTGAATGGCATTTCTAGGGAGAGGATCTGAAAGAATTGGCGATCCCTGAAGACACTGGTTATAACAATCAGAATCCATCCTGTATATGAAAAAATTCTGTCTCTCAGAAATAGCTTAGCATGTAGATTAAAAATTTCACATGTGCTTATTTTCTTTTAAAATCAGTCACCATCATTATTACTACTTTCCTTGTAGAATGTGTTTTAGTAATATCTCCCTGTGGTGGTGGTGGTATTTAAGCCTGCGGTGCTTGCTAAGTTGGAGATACGTAAAAGATATGCAGTCGGAAGCATACACTATGTCATTACAAATGCCATTTCCACAACTCAGGACATAGTTGTAGCAGACGATAGAGGTTTGGAAATTGTCCATTTACAAATGATAACTGGGGGAGAGGTGAACGAGAGGCATACTGACATTGGGATGACAGAGAAGAATACGGAACAGGAAGAATTGGAGTCATGGAAGATCCGCAACAGCCTCCCAAGGAAATGGGTCTCAGAAGAGAGTTTCAGTGAAGTGGCAAGTCTGTGTCACTTGTTACAGAAAGAACTATCAAGAGTCTGCTAGATTCATAAAAGTAGTTATTATAACTGATCACTAACGTGTTTTGGTGAAGAGATAGAGGAAAATAAATTAGTAGCTTGAGGAGAAGAGCAAGACAGAAAAAGGTAATAAAGAGAGATGCCTTGATCATGCCGGGGAGAAATGATCCATGGGGAAAGTGAAGTAGATGGGTAACAACGCAAGGACAAACAGGAGGAGCCCCTGGGTGGCTCAGTGGGTTAGACAATTAAGCATCCAACTCTTGCTTTTGGCTCAGGTCATGATCTCATGGTCATGAGTGTGAGCATGATCTCATGGTCATGAGTGTGAGCCCAGCATCCGCCTCTGCATTGACAGAGTTGAATCTGCTTGGGATTCTCCCTCTCCCTCTTTCTTTGCCCCTCCCCCACTTGTGTATGCTTTCTCTCTCTGTCTCTCTCTCTCTCTCTCTCTCTGTCTGTCTCTCTTTCTCTCTCAGTAAATAAAGTGAAGGAGTGGCTGTGGGTATTGAAGTTGAACGGCAGTAAAGGCTTCCATAATAGAGAAGTTAACTGTGAGGCTAGGGCATTGGTTGGGTCACTAAGTGATTGGAAGATAACAGGACAAAAAGATTCAAAGGTCAGATATGAAGGGTGGTGGATGGCAGCAGTAAGTAAGAGGGCAACTAGCAAGAACTGGTGGATAGTACTCTCAAAAAAGTTACAAGCAATGGAAGACTAATGTCAAAAGCAGTGGGGAGGCAGAACACCTAGCCCTTCTCTAGGGTGTAAGGGTAGCAAGACAAAAGTGGCCTCTATGGGGAAAATGAGTGAAGGAGATATTTTGCTGAGGACTTGTTAGCAGCTTTGGGGAAGAAAAGGTTGAGAGTACAGAAGCATCCTTTAGAAGGAACTGTGTCTCTAGAACACAGCAAAACAGGGATGAGATAGATACGGTCAACAAAGAGTAGATCTGGGAGGAGAGGGGAGTGAACTGGAGAATAGTTTTGTGACAAGGAAACTTGTACCAAAGACGTCATGTTAGATCATGAGGATAAAAGAGGAAGGTTGCAGAAAGCTCTAATATTTCATCACGAACTTTGGCAATAAGCTTTCCCACAGTCAAGACAGATTGTTCTCAGATTGATGGAATTGGGGAAAAGGAAACAAATTAGCTTAGGTATTGATTGAGAGCTGTGCAGTGTTTTAAAACATGACTGAAAATTCATTGCCATTTCTCTAACAGTTGTGGTGTATGGTCTCTCTCCTTGATTCTGAGAGGGTTTGGTTATTTTGACCAATAGAATAGGGCAGAAGTGATGTACTGTGACTTCTAAGCCTAAGTCGTACAAAGCCACATAGCTTCCACCTTGTTTAGAACATTCTCTCTTGGAGCTCAGAATTACTATCTAAGAAGCTAAATACCTTGAGGCCACAGGGCTCTGAAAAGACATGTGTAGAGGTGTAGGTGAGGGGTGTGGGGAGAGAGAGGATGCACAAGCCAAAGAGCCTCTAGCCATTCAGATCCTACCAGCCCACACAACAGATGAGTGTGAAGAAGACTTTGATCCAAACACCCAGCCATTCTAGTCACTCCTGGCTGCTTGGGTCTTCTCAGCTGAGGCCTCAGACATCATAGGGCAAACACAAGACATCTTTGCTGAAACTTGTGTAAAAACCTATAAGGAAAACAAAACCATGGTTATTTATGTGTTCTGGGATAGTTTGTTACAGAGCAATAGACATGGCCTAAGACAGACTATAATGCCAGTTACCAGTCTTGTGTCATTTCCCACAGTTGTTGCTTTCTTTTGTTCTCGGGTAGGTGTGGCCAGGGTAGGGGTGGGATTGATTTAGGAATATATGGTAATATTCCCAACCAGGAATGGTATTCAATTAATGCATGGGAACAGAGTAATGGATATTTGGTGAGATGTCCATTCAGATTGGTTAAAGTGTGTGCCTAATCATGGGGAAAATATTTCTACTCTATCCCTTGCCTCCAAAAACAGTGACATGAATATAGGAGGTACTTAGATTGGAACAAAAATGTCTGAAAATGGAAAACAGTTAAGAGGTAAGTTGTATCAGTCTGTGAATGTAAAAGGATTTCACGGAGAAAAGAATTTTGGCTGAACTAGAATGGACTGAGAAAGTATATTCATGAAGGCATTTGTTATAAAGTTGGGTTTAAAGGTAGGATGGAATTTAATATTCAGGAGGAAGAAGGGAAAGTATCAGCCTCTTTTTTTTTTTTTTTTTAATTTGGAGGTTGGGGTATGAAGACAACAATGAGCAAAGGCAGTGGATTGGAAAGAGGCTGGCCTTAGGTAGAAGAAAGGGACAAAATAGACGCACTGTGGGCTCAGCAGGTGAAACAAGTTAAGGCTAACTAGGCAGACTAAAACCACAGAGAGAAAGAACAAGCAAAGAAGTGTGGAAATGGATCTGGAAATGGATGGAGTATCTCATGAGGCCTCCCAGTCATTTCCTTAGATACACTACAAAGCTATTTCAATTCAGGGGTTTTATGCCTTCAGAAAAATGTAAAAGAAAAATCATGAAACATTAAAAAAGTAGCAAGGACACAAGAAGGAAAACTATGGATAAAGAGAATAGATTTTTCTTCTTGTCAATTTTCTAAATTAAGTTTGAAGCAAAAATTACACTGTTTGATTGGTTCTAAATGTATGTAGAGAAAATATCTAGGATGATTACTTTTTAAGTGGGGGAAGGTAACAAAATGTAAAGAGAGGTAAGGCTCCTATACTTTACTTGAACTGGGACAATGACAACAGTTAATGGGAAAAGTTATCTTCATACAATGCAATAGCTACAGTAACAACTTAAAGTCATTATATAAAATGATATACTCAAGAATAATGTCAATAAAACAAAATGAAGTTCTGAAAATATTCAAGTAACCTACAAAAAGGAAAAAGAAAACAGAAATGAAAAACACAACAAAAACCAGAAAACAATAAATATGATAAAACTTAATCCCAACATATCAATAATCACATTAAATGTAAATGGGTCTAAATATACTAAGCAAAACAGATTGACAGACTGTATGAAAAAACACTAACTTTACTCTGTAAGAAACTCACTTCAAATATAAGCCGATTGAAAGTAAAAAAATGAAGAAAGACATAAACATTAATTAAAAAAACACAGGAGTAGCCATATTAATAGATTAGAAATAAAGAGGAAAGAAAATTGACAGCAGTGGATGTTGTATAATGATAAAAGGGTAAATCCACCAAGGTTTGCACCAAAAACAACACTGCAAAATATCTGAAGCAAAAACTGATACAGCTGAAAAGAGACAATTCAAAACTACAGGAGACTTATCTTTCTTCCAACAAAAAAAAAAAAAAAAAAAAAAACACTACTAGACAGTATACCAGCAAGTACATAGAACTCAACAACACGACAAACCAACAGGTTCCAAGTGACATTTATAGCAGAACACAGGCTTTTCTCAAGTGCTCACATCCTGGGTCATACAACAAACCTCAAAAAAATTAAAAAAAAAAAACCTGACATAATACGTAATGTGTTCTCTGACCTCAGTGAGTCAAACCAGAAATCAGATAAAGATAACAGGAAAATACCTAAGCACTTGGAAATGAATGGCACATTTTTAATTTTTTAATATTTGTTTATTTTTAAGAGAGAGACAGAATCAAAGCACAAATGAAGGAAGGGCAGAGAGAGACAGAGACACAATCTGAAGTAGGCTCCAGGCCCTGAGCTGTCAGCACAGAGCCCGCTGTGGGGCTCAAGCCCACAGAACACAAGATCATGACCAGGGCTGAAGTTGGACACTAAACTACCTGAGCCACCCAGGTGTCCCAATGACAGACACACTTTTAAATAATTTATAAGTAATCCATACATCAGAGAGGAAGTCTCAAGAGAAATTTTAAAAATTAGATTGAACTGAATTAAAATAAAAATGCAACATATCCAAATTTGTGGAATACAACTGAAAAGTATCTATTAAAAAATTACAGGGGCACCTGGGTGGCTCAGTCTGTTAAGTGTCCAACTTTTGATTTCACCTCAGGTCATGATCTGACAGTTAGTGAGATCAAACTTGGTGTGGGCTCTGTGCTAGCAGTCCAGAGCATGCTTGGGATTCTCTCTCTCCCGCTCTCTGCCCTTCCCCCTGCCTCTATCTCAAAATAAATAAATAAACTTTAATAAATGAACAAACAGGCAAGCTTGCCTTAAGAAAAAATTAAGGATAACATTTTACTTAATACAGAAAGACTGAACGTTTTCTCCTCTAAGATGGGGAACAAGGCAAGCTTAGTGCTAAAGCAGTGCTGAGAGGGGAACTTCTGACATTAAATTTTTTTAAATGAATAAATATATAATGTGCACAAATATACCTTATATCATGCATGGGATATGGAAAATTTATTGCAAATGTCCTTCCCACAGACAGGTCTACCTTGACCATATGATGTAGTATTTACAGCTGGTTGTGATTATAGTTTTCTTGTTCAAATATTTAATATTTTTCTCTCTTAGGAACTTCATGTGAGATCATTATTGGAACAAACACAGAACAAATGCCAGTGCTCAATATATATGAATAGAACAAACTGAGCCAATCACCTCTCTTCCTTTCTGCCCTTTTTCCTTTCTTTTCCTCCATCTTTTCTTTTGTGCTTCTTATTCCTCTTACTTTGGTTCCCATACTTATCCTTTTGTATGACATTAAATTCTTAACTCGAAAATGGTAAAACCCTTAAATTCATAATCAGAACTCCCATCTCAAGAATCTAGAAGATCCAAAAAGAATTAAAAAAAAAAAAGTATTCAGATGGAAGGAAATAATAAAGAACAGAAATTAATGAGATATTAAAGGTGATGGAAATGTTGTATATCTTGACTGTGTTAATGTTAGTATCTTGGTTGGAATACAGTCCTATAGTGTTTCAAGACGTTGCCATTAGGAGAAACGGGGTAAAAGGTACATGGGATCTTTTTGTATTATTTCTTAGCAATTGCATGTGAATCTACATCTCAAAATAAAAAGTTAAATTAAAAAATATGGGGGGACTGGGTGGCTCAGTTGGTTAAGCTTCTGACTCTTGGGTTCAGTTCAGGTCATGATTTCATAGTTCTTGAGTTTGACCCCCCACATTGGTCTCTGCACTGACAGCACGGAGCCTACTTGGGATTCTCTCTCTCCCTCTCCCTTTCCCGTCCTCGTCACTCTGTTTCTCCCTCAATACAAACTTTAAAGAGAGAGAGAGAGAGAATGAGACAGAGAAAGA